GAAGGAAAAAAAACAAAAAAAAAAAACGAAAAACAAAGAAGGAAAGAAACATACGCAGAGACAGACAGAAAGACGAACCGAAGCAATGAAAAATGGAAGAAGAAAATCTCTAAGAAAGAAAGAAAGAAAGAAAGAAAGAAAGAAAGAAGGACCTTATATGTAATGAAGTCACAGAGATGGGAGGAAAGGAAAATGAAAATAAAGGTAAGATTATTATGAGAGAAGAAAGAAAGAAAGATCGATAGAAAGAAAGAACGTTATTTTTGAAAATAAAGTAGGAAGTAAAAAAAATCGCTCAAAATATAAAGAAATTATTATATAATTAAAAAGAAAGAAATCAAGAAAGAAAGAAAAAAGAAGGAAAGAAATTACACGAGGTGACAGAGAAGGGAAGAAAGAAAGACGAAAATAAAGTAAGATTAGAGAAGAAAGATGAGGAACAGATATATAAACATTCTTACATACATATATATATATATATATATATATATATATATATATATATATATTATATATATATATATTTAAATATAATTTTCGAGACTATTTCTGGATTTAAATGAAATTTACAGATTCCGAACGCACTCCTGATAGTCTCAGAGATAGGTGTGACGTATGTTTAGAAGAAAAGATAATAATAATAAGCTACATTAATCAAGCTATTTAATTAGAGGAATGTGTTACTGTTAAAATGTCGACATAAAAACAAATTCAAATTTCCATAATATAATTTAACTTGATTAGCTACCATATTTCCATAATATTCACATCCCTCTAACTCTTCAAATATCGAATGTATAACTAATTCGACTTTAATATCTCTCTTCCCATTCATCCCTTACATCATTTTATCTATAAATTTTAAATTTATTTTAGACCCCTTTTTACTCCTATTTTAAATTTATATTTCATTCTTTATACAACCCCAAATTCATGTCATAAGGTTAATATTCGGGTTTGAATTTTTAAAACTTCTTCCCTGTATTTACTTTCAACTCTCCCCTTGCTCCCCTTGCTCGTGCCTTTCGTCTGACTGAAACATTGAAATCGATAAATTATGTATTGATTTTTCGACAGGTTGATTTTGTAGATTTTACAGTTAAACCTCTTATCACCCGCCCCACTCTCTGTATAGACACGAACTCAGTCCACACCGGGCTTGATAAGACAGACGACCGTCTGCTGAAATAGGCTATTCCCCATATGTGGTAGTTTTATATATATATATATATATATATATATATAGAGTATTTAAATATAGACAAACTCTGATATATATATATATATATATATATATATATATATATATATATATTATATACATGGTACATGGTACAGTGGATAAAGGCGTTGGTTAGATCCAGTGACAGGAGATAACTGACATCTATTAAACATGGCACGTTGAACTAGAACAGTCTACCCCAGTGAGCGAAATAAAGGGTTCAGTTCGACATTCCAACCACCTGAAGAAGGCTGGATCGTACAACACCCGAAACGTTTTAATAAATATGGCGACAAAGATAGTGTACATAATACCTCATCACAGAAATATATACAGATACTGAAAGGCCGTAACGTTGTAATAAATATGGCGACAAAGACGAGGACAATAGTCCGATTAATGTAAATAGTTTACATAATACCTCATCTCAGAAATATAGACAGATACTGAAAGGCCGAAACGTTGTAATAAATATGGCGACAAAGATGAGGCCAATAGTCCTAATAATGTACATAATACCTCAACTCAGAAATATAGACTGATACTAAAAGGCCGAAACGTTGTAATAAATATGGCGGCAAAGATGAGGGCAATAGTCCGAATAATGTAAATAGTGTACATAATGCCTCATCTCAGAAATATAGACAGATACTGAAGGGCCGAAACGTTGTAATAAATATGGCGACAAAGATGAGGACAATAGTCCTAATAATGTAAATAATGTACATAATACCTCATCTCAGAAATATAGACAGATACTGAAAGGTTGAAACGTTGTAATAAATATGGCGGCAAAGATGAGGACAATAGTCCGAATAATGTAAATAGTGTACAAAATACCTCATCTCAGAAATATAGACAGATACTGAAGGGCCGAAACGTTGTGATAAATATGGCGACAAAGATGAGGACAATGGTCCGAATAATCTAAATAGTGTACATAATGCCTCATCTCAGAAATATAGATCGATACATTCCATAGCTGTAGAGCATGTGTAGAAAACCTTTGTGCTACACCTTGTCGGAGACCTTCCAGATATCTGATGCTATGCTCCTTACGATATGTGTGCCGTCAAAGGCCTCAATAATTATGTCTGTAATGATAGTTAGGACGTCAGCTGTGGATTGAATTAATCGAAACACGTACTGCTCCTCGCTCAAGGGATTGTTCTTATTCATTCTCTCGATAACCTTCTTTTTTTTTATTAAAGCCTCAAAAAGCTTACTGATTATACTGGGAAGGCTAAGGGATATAGACCGGGAGTTGGACTATCGGTTGCCCGGGTTCTTGAAGACGGAGCACACAATTACAAGCTTCCATAGTCTTGGGAAAGATTTCTCCTTTCAGTAACGGTTAAATAACGTTGCTAGTCTCGGGGATAATTCTGGGTTGATATTATTAAGAACAACCACTTGGGCCAGTGGCTTTTTAAGGGCTGAGGCTTTTGATAAGCCTAGAGGATTCTCTTGTTGAAATGAGTATATTATTGAGATTGTGCTCAGTAAAATGTGGGAAGTTTGCGATGGGGATGTTCTTTGTCATATCTATCTATCTATCTATCTATCTATCTATCTATCTATCTATCTATCTATCTCAGACTCATCATATCTGTCTATCTATCGATCTATCTGTCTATCGATCTATCTCAGTCTTTTCATAATCTATATATATATATATACACATATATATATCACTCTATTCATCTCTATCTATCTATTTCAGTCTCATCATATCTATCTATCTAAGTTCATTATCTAAATCTTTTCATTAATTATCTAAAGTCTCATCATATCTGTCTATCTAATCTATCTGTCTATCGATCTATCTCATCTTCATCATCTCTGTATATATATACAATATATCACTCTCTTCATCTCTATCTATCTATTTCAGTCTCATCATATCTATCTATCTAAGTATCTAAATCTATTAATTATCTAAATCTTTTCATAATCTATCTATCTATTTATCTATATATCATTCTTCATCTCTATCTATCTATTTTCATTATCTATCTATATATCTATCTATCTAAATCTATTCATTATCTAAATATTTCATTATTATCTATCTATCTATCTATCTATCTATCTATCTATCTATCTATCTATATATATATTCATATCTATATATATATCTATCTATCTATCTATATATATATATATATATATATATATATATATATATATATATATATATATATATATATATATATATATCATCTATTCATCTCTATCTCATCATATTTCATCTCATCATATCTATCTATCTATCTATCTATCTATCTATCTATCTATCTATCTAAATCTTTTCATTATCTAAATCTTTTCATTATCTATCTATCTATCTATCTATCTATCTATCTAAATCTATTCATTATCTAAATCTTTTCATTATCTATCTATCTATCTATCTATCTATCTATCTATCTATCTATCTGCCTGTCCGGACACTCGTCTTTCTCTCTTCTTCCTTGAATTATATATTACCTCTTATCATACATTTATATTTTGTGCAACTCCAACATACGTACCTTTTTTTTTATCATACTTTCGCGGCCTTTTTCTCTTTTATATTCATTTTTTTCCTTAAAATTCGTCCGTCCTTTAAACTATATTTCGTTTTTTTTTTTGTTTTTTTTCTCATAGAAAAATCTAAAGTTGTTCGGTACATGTATTCTGATTAGAAAAAAAAAAAAAGAAATGAAATAAATGTCTACATTCCCTCAACTTTAACAAATACATTCACCGTAGATATGCAATTGTATATGCGTGAACAAAAAATGTGGAGACCGGGAAAAAAAAGCAAAAATAAATAAATAAATAAAAAGGGGAGATAAATTGAATATTTATTTCTAACCCTTACACTCCCACGATCCCCACGCGCCGAAAAAGAAAGGCAAACCAACAACAACAACAATAACGACAACAACAACAAAAAAGCTGACAAAGCAATACGCCTTTTAAAAATGCGACGGAAGCAGAAAGCAAATTAAAAATCTTTTTACTTTGGCAAAGCAGGAAGAACGTCAGTAGAAACAAAGCTGTAAGTAGTTCTGTCGAGAAAGCAGGCAATGTTGTGCGCCAGTTTATTGCTGTGCGATGTTCGCTATACAATGAGACGAATGAGTGGCAGAGAGAAAGATAAAGAGAGAGACATATATATATATATATATATATATATATATATATATATATATAGAATAGATAGAAACAGACAGATAGATAGATAGATAGATAGATAGATAGATAGATGAATAGATAGATATGAAGAAAGATATAGAAAGATAAATATATGGACAGATAGAACAGATAGATAGATAGATAGATAGATATGAATAGACAAAACAGACAGACAAAGAGAGACAGACAGATAGAAGATAGATAGATAGATAGATAGGAAATGAATTTATCTTCTTGAAACAGACAGACAGACAGACAGGATAATAAAGAGATAGATAGATTTTTTTAGAGAGACCGACAGAAAAGAGTGAAATCGGGAAAAAATCAGATAAGAGAGAGAGAGAGAGAAAGAGGGAAAGAAAGATCGACGGAGAAGAGACTGACAGAAAGAAATCGGAAAAGAAAGAGCGACTTTTTTTTCAGAAGAGAAAGAAAGAAAGAGAGAGAGAAAGAAAAAGCGGGAAAGAAAGAGAGAGAGAGAGAGAGAGAGAGAGAGAGAGAGAGAGAGAGAGAGAGATGAAAAGAAAGAGAGAGCGAGGGGGAGAGAGAGACAGAAAGAATGTGAGAGACAGAGAGAGAAAGAGCGGAAGAAAAAGATAGAGAGGGAGAGAGAGAGATGAAAAGAAAAAAAGAGAGAGACGAAGAGAGGGGAGAAAAAATCCAGGGGAAGAGAAAGCTCGAAATATAAGAGTTAATACTGATTATCAACGATGAACGTGAGCATATATATATATATATATATATATATATATATATATATATATATATATATATATATATATATATGAAGAAATATACTTTTAAGGTGTGCTATATTTATGGGATAAAATCTTCAGTATCACAGATAGAGCGTATGTAAATATAAGTATAAAAGTCAACACTCAGAGGCGACAGACTGTTTCATGCTGGACGCAATCGTCAGGCCGAAAAAAACAGCCTGTGGCCTCTGACTTCAATGTTCACTTATATATATATATATATATATATATATATATATATATATATATATATGTTAATTGGAATCATGTACACGATCAATTCATCAGACCTACAAATTCAAAAACAAATTGAATTTGAATTTTGAATTTGAAGGTCTGATGAATTGGATCGTGATTACGATTCCAATGTAATAGATTATAACCAAGGAATATTAGGGTTTCAGCCTTTTATATTATATTCTTACTCTGTACGCCATCTTTAAGGGTATCTTACAAAGATAAATTGATTGTAACTGTGATAAAATCTGCCTCTTTGTGATGGCGATTTAAAAAAAAAAAACACGCTATTTTAGAATTTTAAAATTTCTCCGTTGTAATTATGAATTATTTCACAAAACAAGCGTTTCAATTTTTAGGGCCCTGACCGGAAATTGGTAGAAATGTAAAATGAGATTAAATGTTATATGCAATTTACTTTGTTGTTGCTATATTTGTAATAAATTTTGTTGAGTGTTGGTTGATTTTCATATCGAGGGCCTCGAGTATTTAAAGTTTTATTTATTATTAACGTGGTGTAGTATATTGGTGTTGTCGACAAATATTTTTCTGTAGTGTGAAGGTGAACAGCAATGTGTCATTAAATGTTGTGCAATAGAACTTGCATCTGACAAATGAAATGTAAGGCGTCTTGATAATGTTGTGGTTGTAAAGCCAACAAATGTACTTACATTTTTCTCATATATACAATCTCCCAAAGAAATTTAAATTGATATACAATGTTAATTTTTAGGGTTAGAATGCCTTTGATTACGGTATAGTATACAATTTATGGTGGAGTAATGGATAGTGGCTCGGATTGGGAAATCGGAGAGCCGAGTTCGATTGCAGTCGAATCCATTACATTCACTTACGTGCAAATACCCTTGGAAAGAGTATTAATCTTCTTCTTCTCCCCCGCCCAGGTGTGGGTAAATAGCAGAACAGACCGTGAATGTAATGGATTCGACTATTAAGTCAGTCTGTCAGTTATGTGCCATGCGTGATACACACTTAGGCAATTATGTATCTTTCGATATATGACAGATGAAGCAGATTTTTCCCGCAGTAGGTTACCATTTCTTTATGCGATAGATCTATTGCCATCAATATATATATATATATATATATATATATATATATATATATATATATATATATATATATATATATATATATATATATATATATATATATATATATATATATATAAAATTGGGAAATTTTGTGTCAGACAAGACATAGGTAGATTAAATATGAAAATGGGGATAGATAAGACATGTAGATAAATGAGATAGATATGGGGATAGATAGATAGATAGGAGATAGATAGATAGATAGATAGATAGATAGATAGATATGATAGATAGATAGATAGATAGATAGATAGATAGATAGATAGATAGATAGATAGATGTGAAGGATAATGAGATAGATAGATAGATAGATAGATAGATAGATAGATAGATGCAATTGTGTGTGAGTCTGTCTAGTGACAACCAACCAATATTAACGGAGACAAAATTATCACTGAATCATTACGAAGACCGGCGCCCGCGTCTCTTCCTCGTCATAATTCTCTCTTTGAGCGTCATTAACTTTCACCTGCTTCATTGTCTTTCTCCGTGTGCCATGAATGCCTATCGTGTGCGCATGCGTGAAAATCCACATGGGACGTCGTATGTGGCTGGTTGCTCACGAATACGGGTTTATCATATGTAAGTCTCGAAAAACCGTGTGAACATGGATACTTTCGCGAGTAAACACGTGCGCGGCGCAGCGTTTATTAAATCGTTCTAATAACCAATTAATTTAGACTTCGGTTTCATTCGTGCTTCGTTGTTTTTTTTTTGTTGTTTTTTTCGTGGGGGTGTGATGGTTTAGTTGTTTCTAGATATACGTCCTTCACCGACTACAATAAAGAAAATAATCATATAAAATATTTCCAGCATTTTTCTTTTCTTAATTCATTTGTCACGTTCGCGGCCTATTAACTCTCTGTGCAGATTCATATGAAGGTATTTCATGAAATCTTGATTAAATGCCGCCATCGGCGGCCCTTAATCTCGATGTCAGCTAGCTCTGTATTTAAATTACATTTTATAAATAACATTTTATTTATAATTACATTTTATAAATAACTCAACGGACTTCATTTGTCTGTCTTCTCACTTTTTTTTGAAAATCATTTCACCTTCAAATAAGGCAATAAAGTAACTAAGACGCAAAGTGTTACTAAATGTGAGAGAATATGAGAAAAAGAATGACGGCAAACAATAAAAGAATAGGAATTAAGAAAACAGAAGATATCGATTGACATTGCATTTAAATTTTTGAAGATAAAATTTGACTGGAAAGCTAGAAGCCAGAAGAGAGCTCTACAAGTGCGCGAGAAGAAACTGTTAGCATAGAACTTACGGTTACAGTTAGAGTTTTCAACTCTAAAATGATGACACCTTATTTAAATGCTTTTTATAATCAAATGTAAATAAATAAATAATAAATAAATGTAATATAAATATAAAAAATGTATAAATAAAGCGATGATCTTCATTTGTTTTTGTTTTCATTTTTTTTAAATCAGTTCACCTCGGAGTAAGGCAATAAAGCCACTAAGACGCAAGGTGGTACAGAGTGTGAAAGAATAAGAGAAAAAGAAAACATTATTAAGGAGAGAGTCTAGTAATAGTACAGGAATTAAGAAAACGGAATGTACGCAGGCATATACGATAATTCATTTTTTATGATCATTTCAACTCAATTTCTTTTTTAATACCAAGAGAATGTCCCGAATTCTCTGATATATTACGAGATGAGATATTACGTAGCAGCTTGATTCTGTTTACTTTGTTTCTAAGGACCTTTTCCTATATCTTAATACTTGACTTAGTTTCCGAAAGACATCTTTTTCTATTCGAATATGCCTCTCTCTTTCTCTTTCTCTCTCTCTCTCTCTCTTTCTCTCTTTCTCTCTCTCTCTTTTCTCTCTCTCTTTCTCTCTCTTTCTCTCTCTCTCTTTCTCTCTCTCTCTCTCTCCCCTTTAATTGTCTGAGGTCCCTAGGCCGAAATATTTCTGACATAAAAAAAAGACAATTGGATAAAGAAAAGATTAGTCAAACATTGCTGATGAAAAATAAGTAATCCCAGAATTTAAATACCTCTTACAATAGGGTAAACAAACAATATACCGTGAAGAGTACGAAGGCGATAACATTCCGATAGATACCCCTCCTAGCCATAGATAGGTTACCATAAGCAAATTAGTTAAATCATGATTTATGAAACACGCGCCTGGGCATAGGGTATTTAAATTTATTTATTTATTTATCCTTTTTGCAATACACAAAGAAATTGGACAGCAGTACCCCCACCCAACACACATGCACACACAAACACAGACACACAAAGAAAAAACACTTACAACATCGAATGAAGAAAAGAAACGAATTTTGAAATGCATTGAAAAGTGTCAGCGTACGGCAACGTTTATTTTACGCATAGCCCAAGGATAAAAGCTAACCCTCAAACTCCTAGAACTAAAACATTTCCCTGGGGGTAACAGTTCAAACAAGTGGTACACAAAACGCGTGCTGTCTTTCATCATGTTTTCTGCACTACTGCGACAGCGAGAATAAAATGTCCTCTAAGAAGGGGGCGATTATTTTTGGGACATTATCTATAATTCTTTGGAGGGCTTTGCTGTCCGCTGTCGAACAACTGGATTGCCAAGCGATGCAGTTAGCCAGCATATTCTCAATAGTAGAAACGGTATAATATTTTCCAGTACGCAGGGCTGGTTAGTTGTTTTATTTTATGGCATATCGACCTTAGTGGGTCATTTAATGCCAACAAAACTTTTGAAATAGAATCATAGCGATACTTTGGTTTCTTTTGTTTGGTTTGTCCCACGACACATCAACCTCAATGGGTCATTTAATGCTGACAACTTTTTTTTCCCCGGTAATAATTTGCTTTGTCAAAAATCTATTTCTGGTAATACTTTTTTCCCCAAAAATGTATAGCCGGTAATAATTTTTTATTTTTTTTTAAATATATTGCTGGTAATAACCTTTTACAAAGCACCTTTCTACACTTTCATAATGCTTTTTACCTCAATTTCGGGGCTAACCACTTGCCCATAGCTGGGACCCCAACAGGTGCTACCACCCAGGGACAGGGTGAACTCGAGAACACCAGCAATCAAGAAGCGGCTGCACGCTCCTCAAAATCTCCCGACCAGAGGCCCGCTATTGGACACAGCTTATCGTCCTACCCTGGACGCGGTTGTAGTTTATCGTCATATCCAAGACGGCAGGGGTTTACACAGAGTGAAAGTAAGAGAAAAGACTGGGTATGGGGTGGATTGAGGAAATGACAAAAAGAAGAACGGGGATCATAGCATCAGAAGATGACGATTGACGTTACATTTAAATTTTTGAAGATTATAGCTATCAGGGAAGCAAGTAAGAGTTCAACTGTCTGGAAGTGCGAGAGAAGAAGCTCTAACGGTTATATTTAACTGTTTCAACGGTAAAGGGATGGGACGTAGATGCCAATCTAGTAGCACGCTAAAATTCATATAGTCGAGGCTTCAGGGAAAAAAGCTCATCAGAATAGTTGCCGTAAAAATATTCGTAGAAAAGATAGAGGGAAGCCACATCACGTCTGTGAGGAAATGTCTGGAGTCGTGATGCCAAGTCAGGACCGGCTACATTGCCGATCTTTGGATTTTGTCGAGATGAACAACAAAACCACCAGATCAAATATGGCAACAGTATTCAATGTATGGACGAATGGTAGATTTGTAGATATATAGATTGGACTTAGACGAGATGACATGACTCTGAAACATCTTTTTCGGATATTCGGCAAACAAAAATAATTTAAATTTTTACTGTAAGTTTAATTTAGTCTCAGGTGACAAGACAATGGATGGCCACGAGGATATACTCAAAATGACGGATGCTAGACATTTTGGTAAAACAATTTAATACTTAACCGCCTATTCGACTACATTGGATGGTCTCTATAGTGTTATAGTGTTTGGCTATGTACCCAGAAATCAGTAACCTTCCCGGAATTTCGATCTGAACACATTATTCAGTGCGCGTTATTCTAATTCAGCTTTTCTTCCTTTGAGGAAAGTTTACATAAATTCGTGCTCACCAGTTTTGTATATTTTTTTTTTTTTTTACCATTCTACCTCGTTTTCGTTTCTTTCACTGAAACAGAACGTTCAAATTTTCACTTAAGAGATTGAAGCCACAACCGCCAAAGAAGCCGATATGCTTTTAACCAACGCATTAATCTATAAGATCATGTGTCTCGTGTAGGTTAAAATGACCCAAAAATTGTGAGTATAACAATCAGGATATGCATGCTGTTCCACACAGCAAGATATATTATAATGATAATTCCTCATCTTAGAAACTACGTCAAAAACACATTAAACATCCATATTGAACATATTTTGAGACTGAAAGGTCTACTCGACCTCTACGTGTCATTTAAATATCTTCTGTCATATTGACAGTGTCCATTTTGTTTTGAATTCGTTGTTAAATCACGCATGCGCACAAAATCATAAGCCAACACCGACATGAAGAAAGCCGGCATCCATTTTTCTTTTAAAAGACTCGTTGACAGAAAAGTGAAATATTTGGGTCAATTTGAGCATTGTTTTCCGATATGTTTTTATTCATTTGCTGGTCTTGAAGCGGGTTTTGTTTATTTTCTTGACTGTCACAAGGAATGACGGGAAAGATTAGTGCGAAAATAGAAGAAGGAAAAAATGAATGAATAAATTGATGAAAAGAAGAAATTTTTTAAGTAAGAAACAGATGAAAGTAACGAGAAAGAAAGGAAGATAAGGCTAATTAAAAGAAGAGGTCATAGAATAATTTTATCTCAGTAAAGAAGGCAGGCATATTAGAAAAAGGAAAGGAGGGAGCTAAAAAAAAAAAAGAAAAAGGAAGAAGAAAATATAAATACAAAGAAAAATGACAAAGAAAAAATGAAAGATTATGATAACGAAAGAAAGTGAGGGGAAAGAAAACTGATAATAAAGATTATAAGGAAAAAGAAACGAAAGGATAAAAGTAAGTATTATATCGAAAAAAGAAAAGTGAAAGTGAAAGAGAAAGAGGTATAAAGAAAGAGTTAGAGGGAAGAAAGAGGAGAGGAAGATGAAGAAGAAAAATATAAAGTCATAAAGAGAAACAAACAAAAAAAATTATAAAGCATAAAAGAGAGAAAGAAAGAAAGAAAGAAAGAAGGACGAAAACGAAAAAACGAAAGAAAGAGAGAGAAGAAAACAAAAGAAAAGAAACAAAGAAAAACATAGATAGATAGATAGATAGATAGATAGAAAGAGAGAGAAGAAAGAAATAAACAGACAAAATACACACAAACACACACACACACACACACACACACACACACATATATATATATATATATATAGATATATAGATAGATAGATAGATAGATAGAAAAAAGAGAGAAGACGAAAGAAATAGAGAAAAATACACACACACACACACACACCCATATATATATATATATATATATATATATATATATATATATATATAGATAGATAGATAGATAGATAGATAGATAGATAGATAGAAAAAGAGAGTAGACGAAAGAAATAAACAGATAAAAAACACACACACACACATAGATAGATAGATAGATAGATAGATAGATAGATAGATAGATAGATAGATAGATAGATAGATAGATAGAAACAAAAACAGGGAAGAATGAAGAGAGGAAGATGAAGAAGAAAAATATAAAGGCGTAAATAGAAACAAACAAAAATGTAAAGCATAAAAGAAAAAAAGAATAAAAGAAAGAAAGAAGGAAGAAAACGAAAGAGAGAAGAAAATGAAAGAAATAAACAAAGAAAAAGATAGATAGATAGATAGATAGATAGATAGATAGATAGATAGATAGATAGAAAAAGAGAGAAGACGAAAGAAATAAACAGAGAAAAATACACACACACACAAATATATATATATATATATATAATGATAGATGGATAGATAGATAGATAGAAACAGAAACGGGGAAGAAAGAGGAGAGGAAGATGAAGAAGAAAAATATAAAGTCATAAATAGAAACAAAGAAAGAAATTACAAAGTATAAAAGAAATAAATAAATAAAGAAAGAAACAACCAACAAACAAAAAGTGAAATAAAGAAAGAAGAAAAGGAAGACAGCGACAAATAGAAAGAAAGAAAGAAACAAACAAAAATGAAAGAAGGAAAGAAAAAAAGAAAGGAAAGAAAGAAAGAAAAAAGAATGAGTTAAACAAAAAATTGTTCCCAAAATTAAAGAAAGAAAGAAAGAAAGAAAAAAATGGGAAAGGACATGATTAAAGAAAATGATAAAAAAGAAAAAAAGAGAGAAATAAATAAAAAAAAAAATTGTCACTAAAAAGAAAATCGACGGAAGCAGAAAGAAAGAAATAAAAATATAAGAGCATAAATAAAAAGAAAGTAAGTATAAAGCATAAAAAAATAAAAAAGAAAGAAAAAGAAAATCGAGGGAATGAAGATAAAAAGAAAGAAACAAACAAATCAGGAAGCAAAAAGGAAAAAGAAATAAAAAAAATCGTAGAAAGAAACAAAGAAAGAATGAAAATCAAAGAAAAAAAAGAAAAGTAAGAAAAAAAATGAAGTGAAATTAGCGAGAGAGACCAAAAGAATGAATTGAAAGGGTAAAATTGGCACAAGGTCGTGAAGGGTTATGGAATGTTTGTAATGACAGTCCCAAAAATTAGTTCAATGCTCAGCTCAATTGGCTTTACGCTGACCTTTTCACCGTTAAACGACTGACCAAACTCACTGATAAGCTCCTGAAATTCTTGTCTAAGTCATCGAAATATTCCCTCCATCTCCCACTTTCTCTCCCACTTAGGCTTTATATATTACACCCAAACTGCAATGGTTAGCAAGCTTCTCTTGACAAAACAATTACGAGTGAATAGTGAGTTCGATCTTCACTGGGCGCCCCATACTTTCGGCTTTGTGCCACGTCTAAGCTACGCTTAGAAAATTAATTTTGGTGTAATGGTTAGCAAGCTTATCTTGTGAGATCAATTATGACTGATTTGTGAGTTCGATCTACACTGGACGCCCCATACTTTCGGCCTTGTGCCACAATTGAGCTACGCTTAGAAAATCATTAGGGCACACCGACAAGGTGTAATGGTTAGAAAACTTGTCTCGCAAGAACAACTACGACTGAGTAGTGAGTGCGATCCTCACTAGGTACTCCATATTTCTGGCCTTGTGCCACACCTAAGCTTACATCTTCATCAAACATTTTCAAAACAATTATGATGAGGCGAAAGATTAAAAAGAAATTACTTATTTGTTCTTATATAATCATTCTGTCGGCTTTAATATAAAGTGTTGAATGCTTATATATATATATATATATATATATATATATATATATATATATATATATATATAAATAAATAAAAAGAAAGAACAGTAAGATATAAAATCCGGTGTTCTTATAGATATTTTTATTTTTACAAAATAGTGCTCAATGTAAATTTACAGAGCATTAATATTTAGCTTCTATTTTTGAAACGTGGTTGGAACTGTGTAGCGAAAAAAACACATATTTTAAATCAATTAATTTATAATATATATATATATATATATATATATATATATATATATATATATATTATTATTATTATTATTATTATTATTATTTAGGTATGGATTTTTCCTTTTTATTAATCCGAGATATTTTTATTTTATTGCTTAAATGTGATTTTCAGTGGATACCCATATTTGAGTAAACGTTCTGTTTTTATTCGAGAAATCTTGTAAGAAAAAGTGCGTTCTTCGGCAGGATTCGAATACGCCAAGAAGAAATAATCATTAAATCTTACGTGTTTTAACCGCGCAGCCAGACAGAACCTATTGGCCAAGTAGGCATATCTTTAATCATCAACGTTAATACCAGGTTTTCTCAAAAGTTCTACTTCATCAATCCTTTGTAAGAAAATATAGTTTCCATTTAAAAATATATAAAATATAACATCAAGCCATTTAATAATCATCGATGTCTATTTATTTATATATTTCCTGTCCCATCTGTAGATAGAAAGGAGGTAAATCTATGAGTTATTGCTTCCCTTAGTTGTTTTTAATAATCAATACAAATAGAATATTTATCTGTGTTTAGACAAAATTACTTCCCGAGCACAAGGAATTAATCATTTACTTTACCCTACGTTTCTTAGGTTGCAGTCTTATTTGTTCAAGCCTTTCATGTGAGGTACTCAGATACCTTTATCTATTAAATGATGGTCTTGCTTCAACTTGGACTTAAAATAGGCTTCGTCGTCGCCGTTTTTGTCGTTCTGTTGCCGAAAAGGGGAGCCGAGTGCGTAAGTCTTCTCCTGTCAGTATATAGTCTCTTCATCAGCAAGCCCTATGTAGTGCCTCCTCGTGGTGACACATGGCAACCGAGCACCTTGTGGACTCGGGCTAAACTACAGGAGACCAGGGAGGAGTTTTCCCCCACCCCTTAGCATGCGACATGCACTCCCACCGGCGTGTGGACACGCCCTGGTTCTCATTATTAATCAAACCCCAGCTATGGGTTAAATAGCTCCACTGCCTTGTGGAAATCTTCAGGAGAAGAAAACGCTAAGGAGTAACCCCTACAAAAATCCGGAGTGGAGCTCCTAAGGCGGATGGACGGCACTTTGTGCTACCTTCCGGCAACTACTGCAGCCGCGCTGGTAGCAAACTGTATTGGTTTATCCTCTCCTTTGGACTCTGCTAGTAAGGCCGACAGAGGGAACTAGACGTCCGGGCAGCCCTAGTTCTCCATATATCCCGTCCAGGCTCGTAGCGCACTGAGCGCTACTCCATCGTCTCCTAAGACGGACGGATGCCGAACGAACGAACGAACTATTAAAACGTTCTACCAATTGCCGTCAATTTTGACAGCAGGTGTACACTAGTATACAATAATTCATTATGTCTTTAAATTTGTATATATCGTTTTAATTTGAATTTTAAACCATAAAGCTCTCCTTATAGATTTTTTTAAGCATATCACCTCAGACAAGACGGGAGTGCCACTAACACGCAAGAGGTTACAGAAAGTGAGAGCAAGAGTACAGAGGGGTATTTGAGGAAAGGACACAAAGAAGGAAAGGGGTCAGGATCAAGGCATCAGACGATGTCGATTGGCATTACATTTGAATATTTGAAGGTTATAGCTATCAGGGTAGCAAGTAAGAAGGAAGGCGTTCCACTGATGGGAGATGCGAGTTAAGAAGCTATTGGAGCAGAAGAGACGGCTATATTTAACCATTTCGACAGTGAAAGGGTGGGGCTGAGATTAAAATACTTGTAGAAAAGACCAAGGGAAGCCACGGCACGTCTGTAAGAGAATGACTGTAGACGAGATGCCAGATTAGGACCTATCACATTGAATATCCGTCTCTGGATTTTTTCGAGGACCTCGAGATGAACAACGGGGGCACCAAACCAGATATGACAGCAGTATTTAATGCAAGGACGAATGGTTGATTTGTAAAATTTGAAGGATGGACTCAGTAGAGGTATCGCTTTAATAAGAGTTCAGAGTGGTATTTGAGTTCGCCTTATATATATATATATATATATATATATATATATATATATATATATATATATATATAAAGGATTATTCGCAAAAGCTCACGTAAATATTAATGATCTCTGATGGTGTTGGGAAGATCAAAATGCGTGGATGCGCATCTGTGTGGGAGGAGGTGTCTGCGTGGGCAGATGTGTGTATTTGTATGTTCGCCTCTTTGCTGTTTATAGCTTTATATATGAATAAGCTAGAGAATGGACGTTGTTCTATTTCCTTCTTCAGAAAGGAACAGTTTTCAAATGAAACGCTGAAAACTAAATAAGAACCTCGAAAACGAAACAGAGGAAGAGAACCTCTTCAAAAGCTGAAATAATAAATGAAAGAAAAGAAAAAAAAGAAGCCGAAACGAAACGAGACAAAACGAAACGAAACCGACACACAAAGCGCGCTCATTTTAAAGTCATTGTGTATTCTTTTCTTTGTCTGCTTTTTTATTATTATTATTATTATTAATATTATTATTATTATTAATATTATTATTATTATTATATTATTATTATTATTAATATTATTATTATTATTATTTTATTATTATTATTATTATTTGTGTGTGTTATTATTAATATTATTATTTTTGTTTCAGGTGTTATTTCATCATCATCATTCGATTTCTGTTATGGACACACTACCTACCAAGTCTGCGGAAAGACCTTCGTGAATTGTTGTTATGGCCACATTTCATGTTAATTTTTTTTTTTTTTTTTTTTTTTTATCTCCGATTTGCATAGACAAAGTTCTCCTTAAAAATGTTTTAAGCTGGGGTTTCAGATTCTTTCAATTTTGTTTTGTTCCATTTTTATAATTCCAAAAGCACCTATTGATTCTTGATTTCCACATTTTTTCTATTTCAATTTCCAGGTCTTTTTGTATTTTGATAGTTTTCAAATTCGCTTGTTGCTATGTTTCATACCGCTGGACAAGCCAATCAATTAGTAGGCAATTTTTTTTTCTTTCTGGTTTTGATGTCCGGCTATTTGCTTTAATTTTCTGTCTGTGGGATGGTATAATCCCATAGAATGGTGACATCTTCTTTTCTGTAACCGGCGCTTGTTCAAAGTGTTTGCTTACACATTTTCCAAAGTCATTCATCTATTATCGTGACGAGGGGGCAATACTTACACTGCAATTTTTAATTATTTTATTATTATAATTATTATATTATTATTATTATTATTATTATTATTAATAATTATTATATTATAATATTATTATTATTATTAATATTATTATTATTATTTTCTAAGATTCTATTTTTGTTTCAGGTGTTATTTCATTATCATTTTGTTTCGTTTTTCTTTTCCTTTTGCATATTTAAAAATATTTTTAGCTCAGATTTATTTATTTTTATTTTATTCTTGATTCTGATCCTTATGTTTTTACGCTGTTGTCAAACTCTTTAGAAATTTGATTGGCCAATCATTATCAATTCGGA